TATTGTTTACTATTTAAAAAAATATGAACTAGGAAACTTGAGATTTCTACTTACTGAATAAACACTCTTGAAACTAGAAAGTTACGTAACCGAATAAAGCTATACAGTGTACATGTACCTATTATAAGCATACATTAAAGACTAAGAGGCGATACGCTGGTGCATTTAACGGTAAATATGTAAAATTATGCAAACTGCGCGCCGAGGCAGACATGCACGCAAAATTTGTGCTCGCTGCCTGAATGCAGATTGCTTCGTTAGCGAATAATATCATACAATCACATCTTTTCTCTGTGAGAAAAATAACGTGCTGTATAACTACCTAATACTTTCATCTATACATATAATAAAATTGAAACTAAGCCGAATCTGTACATTAAATATTTTTTGGAAAACCTTATTGAAACAGACATTATTATCGATACAGAGTCTGTCTGTCTGTCTGTCTGTTTGTTACCGCATCACAGAAAAACCACTGGAGGGATTTTGATGAAATTTGGTATGGTGATAGCTGGTTATCCGGGTCAACAGATAGGATACTTTTTACCACGGGAAAATGTCTCATTTCTGAGAAATAATACAAAAACTGCATGTAAGAGTATAGTAAAGTGTAAAACCTAAGAATTTGGTTTTTGGTCATCTGAACGCGGGCGGAGCCGTCGGCAATGCTAGTTTTAAAAATAAACCTCTTTAAAAAGAAGTGATAGTACTTATTCAGAGATTTAATTTTCGTTTTCTATTTACTATTTATAATGTCAAGTTGAAAATGAACAAATAAGATAACCAAAGAAGATAAATATTGATATTATAATAATGTAAGACATTTTGATAAAGTTTATTTGCAATCTTTTAGTATTTTGTAGGATGCAATATAAAGTAGCCTTCAAGTACTATAATATATTGTGATAATATGTAATATAATAGTAATAATACTTATTAATTGTGAATAAAGAAACAGCACATACAAAAACCAAGGGCAGACATAATATTATAATATGTTTATTAAATTAAAAATAGAAATGACTACTGAGTTAATCATAAACATAATAAGGTTTTTTACTTGACCTTACGGTTATGTTAATGTCGACCTCAATCGTGTTATCTACGACATAGTAAAAACGTACATACTAATGATTTACTTAATTCGAATAAAGGCTCAAAAAATCGTAATTACGTCAATAAAAAAACACGGGAACCACGTTGTGATTATTATAGCTGCTTTAGGTCCCTAAAATAAAATATAATATACATATATATATGTTTTTATATATATCGTTATATTTACAAATCTGCTTTACATGCCTAAGCCACATTCTCTACAAGATAGACCGACTAATTTACATTTTTCTGATTCCATCTGTCTTTAGATAGTAAGTATCTGTCGAATTCCCGAATTCAAGTTTTTTCTTAACCAGCCCAGGAGAGATTGAATAAACTAGTTGCTACGAACAAAAACTAATGCCGTATGAAAGTATCAAATCTTTGACTATATTTATTAATTATATTCTCTCTGACCCTGACATTGTCTGACATTCAACAAATAATCACTATGATGATAATTACTTGAAAAAATATTTATTAAAAGATATAAACGTTTCACAAGACTAAGCACTATTGATTTAAATTTATATATAGCTTCTAGAAGCGAAATTCGCTAAATCTAAATTTAAATAGAAAACGTTGATTAAAATTCAATTTGAAATGTTTATTTTTGGTAAGACTGCTTCGGAAGACTGATAATGTCGCGACGAGAGCAATTAAAATCGAGATTGTTCAGTATACATGGCGGGTTTTGAATGTTGATCCAATATCCGAATTCCGCTTAATTCTCGCTCACACAAAGGGCTGTCAGTTGCACGGCGCAGCGTCGTACTTTACATGACACGTTCCAACGCGTTTTACCTGCACTCTATGTGTTATGATAGTTGGTAATCTACTTTTATACTAAAAAATGTGCACCATTAAATGTTAGTGCTAGTTATTTTAAGTGTATCGATCGTATCGATTTGCTCGTATAGTACCTATTCATATATATGTAGTTATAGGTATAGTTTATATAGTATCTATTCATGCTTATAATCAACATTGATAAGTATTACCCTTATTATGTACGCAGCATTATTGCATATTATGTATGTGGTACATACCTACGTTTGTCAACAATCACCATCATAATTCTAATAATATATTTTTTTGGAATGTATTATAACGTGATTTCCCGTGGGAATTAAGTAATCTCCCGCGATAAAAGGCAGTCTATATCACTCTCCAGCCGTCCAACTATCTCCACACAAAAAATCACGTCAATCCGTTACTCCGTTTCAACGTGAAAGAAAGACAGACAAACAAACAAACAAACAAACACACTTTCAATTTTATAATATTAGTATGGATATAAAATACTTAATTATGAATTCCTTTATAATTTTGGAGTATATAGAAAAATCTATTCTATTAAATATTTCCACATTCGTTTATTATAGTAAAATAACGACCTTTGGAAATTTGACCTCACGTTCAAACTTGTTCTTCACGAGTCCAATGAAAGTGACTGAACTTCGAGTTTCGTACAGAGTTTTAGCGATCCGAGCAATATTTGTCCTAAAGTTTCGACGTACTATTCACAACTTTGTAAGTAATATAAACTTCTATTTCAGACTGTAATTGCTTTGTTTATATTACGATTTAACAATTTCCTGTTTTTGCGACAGTAATCGCTCCTAGAATGTTTTAAAAATATAATCTAAATATGCCGATGGAAAAGTTTACTCAATATTTGAAAGCCTGTATAAAATATTTTTGGTCACAACGTACAGCCATTAACGTAACAGCTGTTCAAAACAGCCATTGTGGTATGAAAGTTTTTTTTAATCATTTTTATCAGAGTCGACACGCTTTCGGTCTCTATCAAATATTCGATGGAACATTTGCTACTAATATAATAGCAGGTATAATATGTACATATATACGAATACATACATGGTTAGGGAATCGTATTTAAAATCGGTGTTTTGTAATTTAATAATAATATATTTTTATTGTTATGTACATAACAAAGTCTTCTTAAAAATATGTAATTATAATTATATACATATACTTTCTCATCGAAACATAAACATCAAAAGATTAATTTATATACTTTGAATCGTTAACATTGGACTAATTGGCTTTAATTAACACTATACAAAGTGAAAAGGATCATTATAGATCTTCTCAATTGGCTTTAATGGAGGTATTTATTGAATATGGCAAACATTAATAGAAGTGGCATCAAATTATATTACGAGAATATTAGCAAGGACAAAATTGTTAGACTCTATTTTGATACCTTTAGGGTTTCAAAGTAAAAGTTAAGTAATATGTAATTGTCCCTAAAATAAAAACTGTCCGCAAAATAGACACAATAGTTAAACAACCGAAATGTTCATATATGACTCATGGGACAGGGAAGCGGTTAAGATCTTTTAGATATAACACATACTTTTGTGTTTCTATTATTTAAATGTGACTTTAATGCCGCTATCCATCTTTACAGCAATCGAAAGTCAAAGCACGAACAAGTTAGAGAAAGTATAGGGGACGGAAGCACTGATTTATTGTCCACCCACGCTGTCAATGATTCTTATGAAGTGTTTTAATTGTTTTTGTGACAAATCTATACATATAATAAAATTGTAACTAAGCCGAATCTGTACATTAAATATTTTTTGGGAAATCTTATTGAAATAAACATTATTATCGATACAGAGGCAGAATCTACAGTTTTTAGAATTTTTGTCTGTCTGTCTGTCTGTCTGTTACCGCATCACGGAAAAACCACTGGAGGGGTTTTGATGAAATTTGATTATTTCTTTAAATTAAATTTGAACGTATGAGTATTATTTATTAGCGAGACATACCATTCATTTATAGAAAAGCTACAATTCAAACCTATTGTGCTAGTAAAATAATTTTCCTATCCTCTATCCAATCCTACTATTGATGTCTGCTTCACACTCAATGGTTGAGACGTTTCAATTTCTCAAATGCTCCTATTGCTGACCGAGCCAGACTAAAGGAAGCATTCAATATATTACTTGACGTTGCACACCTAAATGCCAAGATACCTTTGTAACCGTTCCAATGTGTACCTCAGTCTAACATATGAATCCAGTATTGTCAATGGTATAAGGAATTGTGGGAAGCTACTTGTTATTTATTTAATGTATGTATTTGTAAATTTGTTAAAGGAAATATGAGGTCATAAACATAAGACATTTTATACCACTTGTATTTTTATATTCACAGGAAATCTTAACCTATAATATAAACAACAAACTATCCTTTTGCAAAATTGATATTAAAAGATTACAAAAATGGTAAAGTAATGTTTATGTTTTAATAATGACAAAAATGTCATATATATATATATATATATATATATATATATATAGAATGAATAATTTGTAATTTTATATATTAGGTAAGACATAACGTTCATTTTATACGTATTACATTTTAGTATTGGACAAGATACGAAATTTAAATTAAACGACTGAATAATCAGCACACATGAATGCCAAGGGGCCTAATCTACAAACGAACGGTCTTTGTATCTGCTTTAACGGGTTTCAAGTTTCTGCCGGACACAAAGGTGTATAGGTAACGATCCATGTAATTGAATTTGCGTATTCCAAAATTATCCGAGTATTATTGTGAGCTTAAGACACAGGAGTCAATACTGATTTTCACTAATGAAAGCTCGTTACGATGAATGTTTTCTAATAATAATTATGTCAGGTATAATTTGATAAGGAAAAACATCCTGCAGCTTTAAAACTGGCAGTTTAAAAAAAACAGCAATGATTACAGTAATCACAAGCCCGATTTCGAGAATTTTGCGTGCACCAACACGACTATTAAAAACCCTTTCTTAACAAATATACGATAAAAGTATCTTTACCATTTTTAAAATAGGGATCATTTTGCAGTGATAGAATAGTGAAGGAATAATAACGTACCTGCAGGTTGCGTCGGCGGTTCTGTGGAAGCGATCTGGCCGTTGCTCCTTACAGCCGCTTTCTTCCTGCCGCCTGTGGTCGCAGGGCTCTTTGTGGCTTCACGTTCCACCCTCTGAAAGGACCATTTTGTTTTTATTATAAATTTAAAAGCACTACAATAATATTTTTGAATAGATTCATCAAGTTCTTTTTATCATATACATTTAATTAACCTAATAGACATATTAAAATATATTCAAATTTCATAGCTTCAATTGGTGAAATCTGTCTGACTCAAACGACCTATAATATATTATTTTTTATGTTTTGTTTTTATTACGAATTTTAAAGCCGTTTAATAAATATATTATTATTTGTTATTTAGATATTAAAATATATTGAAATTTAATAGCTTTAATTGGTGAAACCCGTCTAAAACGTCCTATGACAGTGTATTTAGCTGAAATGTTATTCATTTTCCTATTTGTGATTAGCAGAGCATTCTGTAGTCTCATTAAAATGTAATTTAGGTCGCCTGCTAATCTCTAACCGCATATAATGAAACCGCTCTATCTTTGACGTAACGACGAGGCTCGCAAATGTCAACGAGTATAGAGAAAACCTTTAAAGGGCGAGTTAAAGTATTAAAAAGGGTTTTAATAAGAGGCTCGTTCAGTCGTGAAGGCGTAATCCACTTATTGCGGCTGACAGACGAATCCAGGGTTCGAATCGTGCTGAGTCACCGTGCACGATCTCGCTGAGTCACGAGCCACGACTCGATGTGGCACGGTGCGCCGCAGGACGCACCTCCGTTTATTACGCTGACTTGTCGGAATGTATTTCACTGCAATGCACTAATGCTGATTGATACTGATGCCGATAAGCTCCATTAATTGATTTGAGCCCTCAGTTCAATATGGTTATTCAACTTTCTCTCGTCCACCTCTTACATAACGTAGTGTTGTCGACGATTGAATTATATTAATTAATTAATTAAAAACAGCGGATGTGTATCCGTGTCAAATACAAATGTCATAAAATTAACAAGTCATTCTCTATATTATGCGAATATTACAATAATAATTGTAGTATTGTATGCGAATTAACGATATAATATAACTACGAGTATGTATACATATTTTCCATAAAAATAGGTCAGTTATGTTTTGGTATGACGTAAATTCATTCTACGAGTATATACAGAAGAAAATCAGGCAGTTACTGCGAGGGGTTACGACACGTCATGCAATTTTATCGAAAAATTGTGGAGATGGGGTGGCATGGAGGGATGAGGGTGTTGGGGGCTAATGTTTATGTGCACTGGTGGACATTATGCCTCGATGTGCTTCGTCATCGGGAAATTGGCAAACAAACGTTCTATATACTTAAAGTAGATATTAGAGAGCTTGTTATTCAGTCATATTTTAATAGATCTAAGTCAATCAAGCTAACACTATCTTTGTGATATAAATAGTTGTATAACTCTTTTAATTATCAACTAAAGTTTGCTACTTTGTAATTATAATTTTATTTAATTAATATTCGAATCGCCATTGTAATTCTAATTTGCCCCGGCCAAAGCAAAAAGCAACACAAAGTTCATGGTACGTTTGTTTATCCATTATAACCTCTACCCACTTGCGAACATCAATCACTATAAAAGAGGAACATGATAAATCGACTGAAAATAGTTATTCTTACATTATATGAAATCAGAAAAAAAGTGAATATAGTGAAAGTTAAGAGAAAGCGTGCATTGTATATGACTGACCTACGCAATCTGACTTCGAACTAGGTCACAGTTACTTGGTTAATATCTAATGCAATACCTTCGAAACAAGATTGAAAATATCTCAAAGGCACATATTTAATTAATAGATTGCTAATTATGGAATAGAAATGTTTTTATCGCATAGATTATACATATTATATTACTTCCTTAATTGTTGCCTAAATATTAAGTATAATATTAACGTTATTATTGTATAAGAAAACACTTTTATGGTTATAAATAACAGCATATCATCCAAAACATACGAGATCGACGCTAAAATCCATAGTTTAATAAATTATAAATGCGTAAGTAACTCTGTCTGTCTGTTACGTTTGCACGCCTTGTTATGTAGATTGTTTGAGACCCTGTGAAAGACAGGATAGTTTTCATCCCGGAAATCATCTGGAAGTTTGTATGAGGAATCGATCATTTCTCCAGTAAGAGATATATTTTTTTTATTTTTCATGTACTTACCTTTTCTATACCTATGAGTCTATTTATTCTATACTAACCGTTAAAACGTACCTAGGAACGAACCCGAGCGAAGCAAGGGTGAGTCGCTAGTATCTCTATATTTAAATTATCCCACGCCTATATAAAAGAAATATATGACATCTAGCAATTATTTTGCCTACACTTCACACATTTATACCCTCTGTGTTATAATGTGAGTACTTCCGACTGAAGTAACAATTTTCTTACAATTTCTCCCCACGCTTCGTCATCCTCGACACGTGTTTGTGCTCTCAAAAAGTTACAGACCTTAGTTGAGAGTAAGTACTAAGTACGTATTTATACTGTATAAGGGAAAGTGTAAAAATATATTTTCTACTCTTTTGGTGTATTATAAAATGTAAAATTATAAAAACAGGTTACATTAAGTTTTAAGGCTTAATATAGATCTGGTTTATTGTGTAAGTCAATATTTATTGGTTATATCGGCGTTATTTATATATATGTTTAAGAATTTACTTTATGACTTTATCCTGAGCCCTGCACGAGTTAACACGTATGTTCTCAATATTTCTAATTTAATTGCCAAAACTGCTTATTATTGTCAATTATATTATATAATGCTCAAGATAGTAAACCAGTGATTAATATAATTACACAAGCTATAGCAATCCCGTTTGAAGAGGTAATATGAATTAGCATTTGTATACATATATGAATGTACTTAATAAAAACCGACGATCCATTGTACGTCACCTTATCCCTTCTGTGTCGGTCACCCCTTGCGAGGGACCCTACTCATTCCTTTCTGTACAATAAAGGATTGACCTTTAGTGTATTTCGCCAAATAATAATTTCGAACGTATCTCAAGATTTAATGTCACATGGAAATGTTAGAAATGACGTAAAGTAATCAATTTTATCGAAAATGATTTTACGGTCTGGGCGTATAAAAATGAACACATTTTTTGCATTTATAATATTATCGATACAGAGGCCAAATCTATACTTTTTTTAGAATTTTTGTCTGTCTGTCTGTCTGTTACCGCATCACGGAAAAACCACTGGAAGGATTTTGATGAAATTTGGTGTGATGATAGCTGATTATCCGGGTCAACATATAGAATACTTTTTTACTGTGGGAAAATATCTCATCTCTGAGAAATCGATACTAAACCTTAAAACGTAAGTAGGGACGAACCCGAGGGTAGCGAGGGTGAGTCGCGAGTATACATTTATTGTACATCATATAATTGAATTAAAATTATAATACATACTTAGTCATAGATTGAATCGACTTCCAATAAAACATTAAATAGTTCTTATTATGTTCTATATGAATAACATAATGTAATTTTTTAATTAAAATTAAAGTCACAGCAACATGTTTTATGCTAAACAAAGTAACAAATAAAAGATGTGGCTAAGGAAGTAATTAGAAACGAGCTGCGGTCTGAAACCAATCGGAATTGGACATGGGCCGAATTGTATTGGTCTCTGTACAAATTGAACGGCAATTGTTGCAGTACATTCAATACCTACTGCTCGGTTTCACTGGGCGTTAATCAATACATTATAAGTGAATAACGATTTAATCCATACTAATATTATTGTGTATTATAAATGCGAAAGTAACTCCGTCTGTTACGTTTTCACAGTTAACACTTCAACCGCTGAACAATTTTAATATAGAGATAGATGGGAGATTGGAAAAGGACATAGGCTACTTTTTTTGCGAAAATAAAGTATGAAAAACAGTGTAATGAAAGTATGAAAGTCCTATGTTTTTGCTGCTAGACATAAAGATAATATATGTTCTAGTACATTATATTTTTAGAAAATAAAGAGTGATATTTTATAATGAAGATTGCACGACACGCGGGAAACGACTATGGGGATATTATAAATGTAAAAGACATCTAGGAGCGGACCTGAGCGAAGCAAGGATAAGCCACTAGTCTAAAATATTTTTGAGATTAAATACAAAATAAGATTTTGCTTAAATTACATTATATATAAGGAGGTAAGAGTACAAGAGAATACAGAAGTTATCTTCATGGAGAATGAATGAATGAATGAAAATACATAGGTGTGTTTCAAATTAGTATATGGTTACATAACACAAAAATATGCTAGCTATTAAACGAACAGTAAAATAAAGTTTGTTGCCATTATATAATATGACTTTAGAGACAAACAATAATAAGGCAATAAACTATATTTAGTATTTCCGCTCTGACGCAGCGTTATGTGTAGGTTGTAATCACATTTGAACTTTGAAGATTATTTAATTCTTCTGAACATCATTTACAAAGTTTTACATTAAGAGATAACGGAACATGTTTTGAATATATTTTACTTTTTATGTTTTATTTATTAATCTTTTCTTAACATTATGATATTATTTACATCATTATTATGATAAATAGCGCAAGGATATTGCATAATGCTGTTAAGCTTGCCGTATATGTAATATTTTGTATGGATTATGTTGTTGCGTATACTCAATAAAAAATGAGACCTATACGGCAAGTTTAAAGAGTCTGATAGTGGTAAGTAATTTACTATATCTATGTAAGCCATTTGTTTTTCGAAAATAATTTTTTTTCTCATTCTTTGCAGCTGCAACTTAAAAAAATAAGATATGAACAGACTAATCTCCATTTTAGCTACAATCTGGCGTAAAATTGCTAACATACCACTTGCTCATCAACTATTTAATCTGTTGCATAGAAATGATATCAATTCGTTATAGCAGCCCACGCATCTATCAAAACTCAATTTACGCACACAATCAGGCCACATATAACGTAGAATCTATGTATGTACATATATCGTTTGTTTAACGACGCGACGCAAGCGTGTAGTGCGGTACACATTATCGTAGGAGCTTTGTAGAGAGAGGG